ACTCGATCTATCATAAGGGTGTCTCCCTTGAGAGAGAGAAAGAGAGAGAGAGAGAGAGAGAGAATCCTTCACTTTACTCGTGAGATCTGTTGCCTCATGCAGTGCAGCCAAGCAGTCATGTAATCATCTATTATAACGTATGTCACGTTTCATGAGAACTGGCCTTGGGCAAGCCGGTCGGATCGCCGCTCCTGCGGCTGGTTTGGGTTTAGCTGAATTCGATCAGCCCTCGAGCGCCTCTTCCAGGTCGGGGCCTTGCATGAAGAACGGCATCCAGAGGTTTGTCGTGGCGACCCCTTGACTTCCCTTGAAAGGGCCTCAAAAACGTGCAGGTGACACTGTGACACCAGAACCGGGGACTGGAATCCTTGATTCCAAGATGGGATTCTTGGGAAGCGCAGCCTGAAGCTCAGGATCATGGATTTCGATTTAGCTAAGAAGCACAACAAGGAGGCTCGAGTGTTGACACAAACGACTTCGAAGCGAGGCATGCCATTTTCCGGGGAGGGGGGTGCGGCTGATGATCAAGTTCATGTTGAACCTGCTTGACATTTGCAAGATGTAGCAGGCCATGGTCGTTTGGTATCAAGTTGCAGTTACACTTGGTTTCTTGCAGGTGGAGCAGAGGCGGCGTGAGGCAAAGCGAAAGTTGGAGGAAAAGAAGAAGGCAGGAAGACGTTTCGATAGATGTCATTCTGGAGGGAGGGGTTTGCCACTATGCGCTATGCGCCGCAGAAAGGTTGTGCTCAAGCAGTGGTCAAATGCCAGCTACTGTGGATGGACGAAATCCTGCACCACCTAAGAGACCCTAGAAGGATGATTCCCCCGTAAATACCAACAAACACTGGTTTTCCATGGTTTAAGAGTGGTGCAGGAATTCGTCCATCCACAGCCATGCTCGTCTCAGGAGGAAGAGATTCGCTCGGCCATGGAGCAGGAGCTGCTCCGGCGGAACTCCAAGCGTGTGGAATTCAAAGCCATGGGCAGGTCCTATGTTGGTCAGGCCTTGATAAACATTATGGGACTCTCTCAGGGGGGCCACCCCAAAACCCCCAGGAAGCGTACCAGAACCCTCACCCCTTTGAGGAAGTAGTGAATTTCGCAACTGAGACAGAACCTTCCTGTTCGAACAGCATGCAGGACAAATGCCACTCACTCGCTAGCATGCTGCCATACAGATAAGCTTCCTAGATTTCAACATAAATTGTCAATCTCAGACCTGCTAAGTACCTTGGGAAGCAGCAGGGGTTCACAGGTCCCACGAATATCAGCAACTGGCAATGATTGGGACTTCCGAATGTCTATTTTCCGCTGAGGGCGGCTACCACGAATGAACTCTGCTCAAGTATGGTCCAGGGTTCTCAAAATGGGGGGCCCCTTTTTGGATGGTTTTAACGGGAAGCCAAAAGGAAGCTGCCTACGAGGAATTGGTCCCCGATTTTGACAAACCCCATTTGTTTGTTTCGGGGTGCGCAAATTGGCCGTGCAGGAGCAGCGGCAGCGGGAAGAGTTGAGACTGCGGCAGGTGAGCCATCCTGGGTCAGCTGGGGCTTTATGCTGCCTTTCAATCGACGACCAAGAGCGTCCCGAGAAAGTGACACCGCCTCCTATTGTTGAACACCATCATTGCAGTGATTGTGGCTTTTATCCTGTTTTCTCGGAGCATGAGCAACATAAGAGAAATGGTTCTTTGGAGACTGGACGTGGTTCACGATTCTTGGTCCACGGAAGTAAGAACCCTGTAGCCACGGACCCATGAGAGCATCATACCCATGAGATCCTGCAAGAAGCGGCATTCCTTCGAGTCTCACAATCAGCAAGGGCTACATTGGCGCGAACGCGCTTGAGAAGTACTTTTCGGGTCGCGGTGATCACAACACAAGTAATCACGTCAAAAAAAGGCTTTGTCTATTCGCAGAGGCTCTATGGTGATGGTTGCTTGATTCCCTCCCGCCTGCTAGCATTGCTTGTGCGACTCCTGCCTAGCGCATTCTCGTTCTTCCCCTTTTCTTGCCCGTTTGTCCAAAACAGAGTGCCTCTTGTCAATCCCTATGTTGGTTGTGTCCAGATTGGGAACCCATTTGATTCATGCACCCCTGCTTTATTTGTTTTTTGCAGTGGAGGGGAGTGTCCAGAGGGGGATCTTTCGTTGTTTGGGCATGCGGCAGGCCGAGGAAGAGCGGCAACGGCAGGAGGCGGAAAACCGCCTCAACGAGGGTGCCAGGCGAGAGCTGCAACGTTTTGGGCTTTGCTTGGGTCTTTGTGGGCTTGTGCTCAAAATGGGGAACCCTGTTTGGTTCCTGCAGGACACCCAAAAGCCAACCCTCTAGTTTTGGAGAACTTTGAGAAACACCAAATTGCTTCATCATGTTCTGGCCGAAACCACATGGGTTGTTGGCTGATGAAAGGTAATTATATCGAATATGTCTTCTTGATTTTACGGACTCAAGAGGATGTCAGCGAAGCTGACAGGAAGGGTTGCGTTTGAAATGAGTCCACAGGAAACTGCTGGTTTTGTTGCACCGTGTCTGAATGCTAGCGCGTGCTTCAGCTCCGCATCTCCACACCAGCAATTGGCCTCCGTTGTTTGTACGCCATGCTTCATGGCAACAGCAACAGCTACGGGAGAAGCAGTGTGCCTGTGCGAAATTTTTCTAGAGGCCCGCACTAGCGCAATGCTCGCTCGGCATAGGGCTTGCCACGAGCAAACTGCATAGTTCCAGCAGAGCGAGGGTCAAGCACAAGGATTGAACTTGTGATTGCCATCAATATTGGCACAACTTGAGAGTCACTTGTCACTTATAGCGCCACTTCTGCATCGTGTTTGGAAGTCAACTGTGGTGGCTTGCGCATCTCGGAGCCAAGTAGCCCAACCATTCTTCTCCGTCAGGTATGTTGCGCGCCTGCGGCCTTTCCCATCAAGCAGGCGACAGTTCTTGGCAGACGACTTTCGCTCGTCTGCAAGGTTGGTTGATCACGACGATGTCATATCTAGCAATCATAGACGGCAAAATCTTGCAGGGGGAGCAATATAATGCATAATATATTATACATAATATATTTATATATATATACATAGATATACATATATTTATGCGTCATCGTGTCATGATTGTGACAGTTTGCATGAGTTCCAACCGGGAAGTGTCGTGGAAGCCTTCCATGCCAGGACAGACGACAAGCTGGAACTTCCAGCGTCCGCTTTGGAGGACCGCCTGGATACGGGGAGTTTGCCCTGAATTGCGTTTCGACTCCGAAATTGGAATCCATGGCTATGATGTTTTCCCATACTGTGCATGAACGTGTCAGACGAATGGTCGTAAGCCACAAGCGCCGACTGGTTTTGATGCGAATGTTTGTAAGTGCGTTTGCGGCTCAAAGATTTGTCCTTGGTTGCGTCGGTGTTGCATGGGCGGTTTGACCCAGTACGGTCCTAGGCCATCCTTCTGAAACATATTGACTAGGGCAGCTAGCGGGCATGCGACTGAGCACAACACATGTTTCATCCACTTCAAGCAAAAGCAACTAAGAAGCGAGTGTGACGTCAGCAGATTCCAGTCACAACTGTTGACCGCAAGCTTTAGGCTTCAAGCAATGTGGGCCGCGCCCAAAGTCTGGCGCGTTGGGTGCGTGGTGCGCGCTGTGCGGACGGCATCCGGAGGCCCGACAGGTGTCTAGGTACTCCAGCGTTTGCTGGCGTATGAGTTTAACCTTCATGGTGTCCACAAAACGGCCCCTACTTCATGTTCATTATCCCTGAGAAACCGCATGGTTTTGGATGCGCCGTCAACCTGGCTCGGTTTGGCACAGCCCAGGGCCGCGGCCTTTGGTGCTGGCGGTGCATGGCGGCGCTTGGGCGATTCCAGACCAAATCAAAGCGCGCAGCTCAGGGGGCGACGAAAGCTGCTTGGGTTGACAGGAAATACGCGAAGCACTTTGAAGGCAAAGCGAGCTGCTGCAAGGAATTGCAAGCGGCAGGTGATAGACGACTTTCCTGCAAGCTGGTTGTTTTGCACCGGCTGCTTGAGATCCGTTCAAACACCCCAGGGAAGACACAAATTTGGCTGGGATCCCCAATAAACCCGTACTGGGAGGCTTTCATGGCAGAATGCATTGTGCATGCCTGGCTGGCTGCAAAAAGCAGGATGGGTCCCAATGTTGCTTGTTGCCTTAGTTGTTGCTTGTGACAGCTCCCTCGTACAAGGCTTGCTCAAACAACCTACAGGAAAAGCAAGCGTTTCGCTGGCCAGGCACGCAACCTGGCAGCGTGCAGGGCTGCTGCAGAGCAGGGATACCAGGTGCTCAAAGCAGGCAGGGAGAGCCCGATGTCACAAGAATGCTTGGCAGGCAGCTTCCTTGAGCAGGTCGCGCAACTATTCCGAAGCAAAAGCAGTGTCTTTGCAACTGGTTTGACTGATTCGCTCCTGCGCTGAGAAAAAAAAGCTCAAATGCCAATGATGGGACCAAAGCACTACAGTGATCACAGCACTGGAAGTACGGGGAAATCTGCAGATCGGGAGCATGAGCTGAGTTCTTCCGGACCTGTTCCTCAATTTAAGGTTTGAGGCTCGCTCAAAATGATGGGCGCCCATCCACAAGAGTTGGTTGTTTCCTGAGGGGGACAGGGAGCTTCAATGTTTCTGGCATTTGGTCGTTGTTTCATGCGAGTCGTGTTGAGTCACGTTTCGATTTATAGAATGTTCTGAAAGCGCCGATCGCTGCAGGTGGAAGGCCGGGAGGGCGAAGTACAGCCAGCCAGTTTGAGCCTTCCTGTACGGCACTGTGTGGCACTTGTTTGTTTCCAAGACAGCTCCACAAGGAAAAGAATGGCCGGGCTTTACAAAAGTGTTGAAAGCAAACAAAGAACACAGGGAAGCACATTGGCAGAAGCATCTGTTGAGAAATCATGGCTTGGGCTCGGGCAGCTTGAACACCAGAGTTCTGATTCCGGTGGTGAGGTTGCAACCTGGGCAAACCGTGGACTCGAGTGTACCTGGCACATGTTGAAGTTCGAAGTTTGAGCCCAACTTTTTTTGCACTCCGTCACCATGCTACCCCATTGGTTCGGCCCTGCTGATAGGGCTGTGGATGCGGTGGAGCTGGCCGTGCGTGCGCTGGAGCAGGAGCCGTCTCTGAATGCTGGCCGAGGCTCGCAGCGTCTTGCCGCTCTGCGGCTTTCCTATGTCAGCAAAGCTAAGTTCAGGTGGCCACCCTTGCAGTTCCGTAGAAGACACTCTTTAGAAGCAAGCTGTTTTCCTTGGTTCAAGATGACTCACAAGCTTGATTAAGGCTAGTAGGGGATCTGTTTTCCTTGGTTCAAGATGACTCACAAGCTTGATTAAGGCTAGTAGGGGACCTGTTTTCCTTGATTCAAGACAACTCACAAGCTTGATGAAGGCTAGTAGGGGAAGCTGTTTTCCTTGATTCAACATAACTCACAAGCTTGATTAAGGCTAGTAGGGGAAGCTTCTTTCCGTGATTCAATATGACTCACAAGCTTGATTAGGGCTAGCAGGGGAATCTGCTTTGCTTGATTCAAGACAACTCACAAGCTTGATGAAGGCTAGTAAGGGAAGCTGTTTTCCTTGTTTCAACATGACTCACAAGCTTGATTATGGCTAGTAGGGGAAGCTTCTTTCCATGATTCAAGATGACTCACAAGCTTGATTAGGGCTAGCAGGGGAATCTGCTTTGCTTGCTTCAAGATGACTCACAAGCGTGATGAAGGCTAGTAGGGGAAGCTGTTTTCCTTGATTCAAGACAACTCACAAGCTTGATGAAGGCTAGTAGGGGAAGCTGTTTTCCTTGATTCAACATAACTCACAAGCTTGATTAAGGCTAGTAGGGGAAGCTTCTTTCCGTGATTCAATATGACTCACAAGCTTGATTAGGGCTAGCAGGGGAATCTGCTTTGCTTGATTCAAGACAACTCACAAGCGTGATGAAGGCTAGTAGGGGAAGCTGTTTTCCTTGATTCAAGATAACTTACAAGCTTGATGAAGGCTAGTAGGGGAAGCTGCTTTCCTTGATTCACCATGACTCACAGGCTTGATGAAGGCTAGTAGGGGAAGCAGTTTTCCTTGATTCAAGATAACTCACAAGCTTGATGAAGGCTAGTAGGGGAAGCTGTTTTCCTTGATTCAACATAACTCAGAAGCTTGATTATGGCTAGTAGGGGAAGCTTCTTTCCGTGATTCAAGATGACTCGCAAGCTTGATTAGGGCTAGCAGGCGAATCTGCTTTGCTTGATTCAAGATGACTCACAAGCGTGATGAAGGCTAGTAGGGGAAGCAGTTTTCCTTGATTCAAGATAACTCACAAGCTTGATGAAGGCTAGTAGGGGAAGCTGCTTTCCTTGATTCACCATGACTCACAGGCTTGATTAGGGCTAGTAGGGGAATCTGTTTTCCTTGATTCAAGACAACTCACAAGCTTGATGAAGGCTAGTAAGGGAAGCTGTTTTCCTTGATTCAACATAACTCACAAGCGTGATGAAGGCTAGCAGGGGAAGCTGTTTTCCTTCATTCAAGATAACTCACAAGCTTGATGAAGGCTAGTAGGGGAAGCTGCTTTCCTTGATTCACCATGACTCACAGGCTTGATGAAGGCTAGTAGGGGAATCTGTTTTCCTTGATTCAAGACAACTCACAAGCTTGATGAAGGCTAGTAGGGGAATCTGTTTTCCTTGATTCAAGACACCTCACAAGCTTGATTAGGGCTAGCAGGGGAATCTGCTTTGCTTGATTCAAGATGACTCACAAGCGTGATGAAGGCTAGTAGGGGAAGCTGTTTTCCTTGATTCAAGCTTGATGAAGGCTAGTAGGGGAAGCTTCTTCCGTGATTCAAGATGACTCACAAGCTTGATTGATTAGGGCTAGCAGGGGAAGCTGTTTGCCTTGATTCAAGATGACTCACAAGCGTGATGAAGGCTAGTAGGGGATCTGTTTTCCTTGATTCAAGAAAACTTACAAGCTTGATTATGGCTAGTAGGGGAAGCTGCTTTCCTTGATTCACCATGACTCACAGGCTTGATGAATGCTAGTAGGGGAATCTGTTTTCCTTGATTCAAGACAACTCACAAGCTTGATGAAGGCTAGTAAGGGAAGCTGTTTTCCTTGATTATTCAAGATGACTCACAAGCTTGATTGATTAGGGCTAGCAGGGGAATCTGCTTTGCTTGATTCAAGATGACTCACAAGCGTGATGAAGGCTAGTAGGGGATCTGTTTTCCTTGATTCAAGAAAACTTACAAGCTTGATTATGGCTAGTAGGGGAAGCTGCTTTCCTTGATTCAATATGACCTACAAGCTTGATTAGGGCTAGCAGGGGAATCTGCTTTGCTTGATTCAAGATGACTCAGAAGCTTGATTATGGCTAGTAGGGGAAGCTTCTTTCCGTGATTCAAGATGACTCACAAGCTTGATGAAGGCTAGCAGGGGAATCTGCTTTGCTTGATTCAAGATGACTCACAAGCGTGATGAAGGCTAGTAGGGGAAGCTGCTTTCCTTGATTCACCATGACTCACAGGCTTGATGAAGGCTAGTAAGGGAAACTGCTTTCCTTGATTTAAGACAACTCACAAGCTTGATGAAGGCTAGTAAGGGAAGCTGTCTTCCTTGATTCAAGATGACTCACAAGCTTGATTGATTAGGGCTAGCAGGGGAATCTGCTTTGCTTGATTCAAGATGACTCACAAGCGTGATGAAGGCTAGTAAGGGGATCTGTTTTCCTTGATTCAAGATAACTCACAAGCTTGATTATGGCTAGTAGGGGAAGCTGCTTTCCTTGATTCACCATGACTCACAAGCTTGATTAGGGCTAGTAGGGGTGGTTCGATCACGGCAGAAGCTGTGAAAGGTTCCCCGGCAACCATACCATTCCAAATGCGCAAGGCTTGTTCATCGTGTCCCCCGCCCCCCATCGAACTGTGAGAACAATTCATTCCTGGTCAATTGCCATACTTTTACAGCGCCAATCTCACTTTGCAGGATATGCAATTGCTTTGTTTTGTCTCTTTCAAGGGGTCAGACTCTAGACTGGGATCCAGAAAGATGGAAATCCTGACAGAATCACAATACAGCGGTTCATGGCCCAAGGGCAGCCTTATGTTAATTTGAGGACAAGGATCATATCAGGTCGTTCTATCCTTGCAATTCCCATTCTTTTCAGCATTCCTCAGAAATGTTGGTTTTTGCACAGAATTTGGGGAACAGATGTGAAGAGGATCGGAGAACCATTCGAATGTTAGGCTGCTCGCTGAATGCGGACGGCCAACCCGAGCTGGACGCCTTGCTAATGGAGGGCTCCTCACGGCGTGCGGGCGCTGTGGCAGGCGTATTGAACCATGGCTTAGGGTATGCTTACTTCATGTGGTTTGGTTTGTTCAATTGGAAAGTTAATTATTGACTATAGTCAATGGTCAATGGTATGGGATTTGTCCAGGCTCCAAAGTTTCACTAGAAAATATCAAATGGTGGATGAACGGACTTGAATGCCTGTGCAACTGATGGCCACAAATCCAGAACCACATGAGCTCCTGTATTGAAGCTGTGGTCGACCCGATTCGCTTTTTGATCCTGGGATCAATGACTTGATGAGGAGGCGTGACGTACAATAAGCCAAGCGAACTAAGGCAGGCCCATTTGACCAGCGCCTTACGCCTCATTTCTGGTGAGGCGTTGCTGTGCAGCACCCCATATCATTGGCGCGGATGGTGATGGAGCGGACTGAGCATGTGATGATGGCGGGAGAAGGCGAGCAACTTGGGGGGCAAGTTCGATTGGATCTTTGGTTAGGTTGCAAGAGTCACAAGAAGAATGGCTGTTTGAGAGCTGCAGGCTTGAGAGCCAAAGAGCCTAGCCCGTAGCATTGGGCTTTGGCCGCGCACTTGTGAAACCCTCCCCAACTTCCTGGGTGCCAGGTGCTATGGCCTTTGCGCGGGAGCAAGAAATCTGCGACGCAACTGACCTGGTCACTGCGGAAGCGTTGCAGGAGCTGTGCCTTCTCGTATTGCATGCTTTGAGCCTGCTTCGGGATCCCTTCGACAAGAAAGTTGAGTTGTGGTCAAAGCAACGAGTTCACAGGGGTGGCCATCAATCTTCAAGCCGTGATGTTTCACGCACTGCCTCGCAAAGGCTGTACTTACAATTCGTGCCAAATTGCAAACACGACACCCCAGTGCTCCATGGGCCGCCAGCCGCACCCACGCACACAGACACGCAGACACACAGACACGCAGACACAGACACACACACACACAGACACACACACACACAAACACACAAACACACAAACACACACACACACACACACACACACACACACACACACACACACACACACACACACACACACACACACACACACACACACACACACACACACACACACACACATTATTATTATTATTATTATTATTATTATTATTATTATTATTATTATTATTATTATTATTATTATTATTATTATTATTATTATTATTATTATTATTATTATTATTATTATAATATTATCGTATTATTTATTTCACATTAGCAGATAAGCAGATACAGATTAAGCAGATAAGCAGATAAGCATAGATAAGCAGATACATTGGCAGATACAGATTACTAGTACTGGGCAGAGCAGGCAGATGGGCAGAGATAAGCAGATACAGATAAGCAGATAAGCAGATAGCAGATGCAGATGGGCAGATAGCAGATACAGATACAGATAGTAGATATGATATGATATGATATGATATGATATGATATGATATGATAAGTGATAAGGATATGATATGAGATATGATAAGTGATATGATATGATATGATAAGATATGATATGATATGATAAGTGGATATGATATGATAAGTGATGTGATGAAGATGCGATAAGTATAAATATGATAACACAACACAACACAACACAACACAACACAACACAACACAACACAACACAACACCACACAGCACAACACCGCAACACACACACACTACACACACACACACACCACGCACACCACACACACAACACACACACACGCACAAAACACACACACACACACAATGTGTGGTTGTGTTTTTGTGCGTGCGTGTGTGTGTGTGTTGTGTGTGGTGTGGTTGTGTGTGTGTGTTGTTTGTGTGTGTGTGTGTGTTGTGTGTGTGTTTTGTGTTTTGTGTGTTGCGTGTGTGTGTGTGTGTGTTGTGTCTGTGTGTGTGTTGTATGTGTGTGTGTTGTGTGTGTGGTGTGTTTTGTGTGTGTGTGTGTGTGGTGTGTGTGGTGTGTTGTGTGTATGTTTGTGGGTGGTGTGTGCTGTGTTGTGTGTGTTGTGTGTCACACAAACCCGCACACCCACACACACACCCACACCCACACAACACACACACACACACCCACACACGCACGCACGCACGCACGCACGCAAGCATTGTGCCTCGCGAGCTGCCAGTGTTTGTTTGGATTGTGTTAGCCAAACTGTTCGGCATTGCCAAAGTCGTTATGTGCCAGACTGAACTATCTCTACAGCCTTCGTCCTAGAGAATCACCTTCGTTTGACAGGCTTTCTGGTCCTATGTGCCTCGTCCCCCATGTGCGATGCCAACCCGTAATTGGCAGCTTGTTCTTTGCAAGCAAGCCTTTTGATCCCGTGCTTTACTGTCCGTCCAGCCGGGTTGCTTCTTATCAATGGTTATTCAAAGGAGCCGACGTTCACAAAACCCCACGCACGCACGCACGCACGCACACTCACGCACACACACGTTGCACAATACGCATGCATAATACGCTGGATGGATGTGATTCACGCATTTATCGCACGTTTAGACGCATGCTGCGTATGCATTTCCATACACATACTACGTACTAACATACAAACATACAAACATACAAACATACAAACATAATAGACATACAGTAAGATATACATACAGATATACAGATACGCAGATACAATAGATACAGAGGATGACATTATTCTACACAAGATGCATTTACGTATTTACGCATGTACGCATGTATCGCATGCATGATAAGATGCGCATGCATGCATGACGCATGCATGCAGAGATACAGATACAGATAAGCAGATACAGATAAGCAGATGTTGTGATACAGATACAGATACACATACGCATACGCATACGTATACGCATACGATACGCATACGTATACGTACACGCATACGTTGGATACACACACAGACATGATACACAGACATACACACACATACCTATCTATCCATCCACTAATTACGCACGCACGCACGCACGCACGCACGCCGGACGCACGCACGCACACACGCACCCACATGCACACACGCACGCACACCCCCACGCACGCACCCGCAGACACACACACATACACACACGCACCCACGCACACACACACACACACACACACACACACGCACCCATGCACGCGCGCGCACGCTTCCACCCACATGCACACACCACACAAGCACGCGAGCAGGAACGCGCTCATGCCCGTCCGCCCGCCCGCGTGCGAGCACGCGCTAGTACGCACACACACACACACACGCACGCACGCACACACGCACACGCACACGCGCACGCACGCGCGCGCGCGCACACGACCACGCCCACTTGTGCACGCACGCGCGCGCGCACACGCACACACGCACTCACGCAGGGGCGCACGCACACATGCACACTTACACTCCTACCCACCACGCCAACAGACGCACACACCACACACAAAAGTAGACACGCGCCCAGACACACACGAACACCAACAGACCTTACCACACACACACACCACACACACACACCGGCACTCACCCAAGCACTTGCATATTGTCCATTGCCACATACATATTCTGTGTGCAACAGCATGATCTAATACATATATACAAAACACATATCGATTGAGGAGGGGCGCGGGCGTGGGGTCTGCGAGTTTGCAGTCATTGTACAAGCAAGTAACTTGGCACTTTGTCGAAGATATGTCGGGTTGTTATTGTTTGAAAGCTTATGTTCCGACTACAAAGCTCCATATTGCCAATGTTAAGTTCAATGTTCTCAATTCGCAATCTCGTGCTCCCACTGCTACACTCAATCATCTTTCGTATTAAGCATGTTTTCATCTTATGCCCCTGGATTCTTAGGCCCCCGAACTCAGTATTGCAAATGCTAAATGCAATATTGTAAATACTTAATCGTAAGTTACCCTTACTACACTCAATATTGCCAATACTACCTTAATATTGTCAATACTTAATCTTAGGTTCCCACTACTAAGCTCAATGTTGCCAACTACTAATCTCTGTATTGCCAATACTAATTTTAGTACTCTCAATGCTTAATCTGAGGTTCCCACTAGTAAATTTAGTTCTGGCAATACTTAAAGACTCTCACTACTCAACTCATCATTGCCAATACTAAGCTTGTATTGTCGATGCTTGGCCAAAGGTTCCCACTAAACAACTCAGCATTGCAAATATTTAGTACTGTCAATACTTGATCGTGGGTCCCCACTGCTAAACTCAGCATTGCCAATACAGTAGTTAATAGCGCCAATGCTTTAATCTTAGGCCCCCACTACTGAACTCAGTATTATTGCAAATATTAAATACAATATTGTCAATGCCAAATCTTAGGCCGCTGGCTGCGAAGGTCACAGAGCTGAAGGCATTCTGTTGCGGATGGGGATACGTTCCTCAAGTTTTCCAAACAAAGCGAACACAAATCAAAACTGCAGATCCTATGCCCTGTAATCACAAATGCAAAGAACCTCGAGTTATCCAAAAGAACAAGACCAACAAAAAGGAAAAGCAAAACTGCAGACCGACTAGGCTTGGGGACATACGGTCTGCATTTTTTGAAAACTCGAGGTTTGTTTGTATCATTTGTCAGAAAATGCAGAAAATCTCGAGTTGTCCAAAAAAGCACCAAAAAGCCAAAGTTGCAGACCCCATGGCTCTGGGCAGAGGCTTGGGGACATAGGGTCTGAGGTTGTTTGGAAAGCTCGAGGTTCTTTGCATTTTTGATGACAGGGCAGCCAGGGCATAGAGTTTGCATTTGTTTTGGCTTTGGACAACTCAAGGTTTTTGTTGTTTTTCATTGCAGGAGACTGCAGCTGATGATGGAATGCTTGCTTTGTTGGAACCAGATGGTGGAATGATTGAGTTTGCCAGTTTTAGCGTGCCTGCAAAATGCAGGCCCCATGCCCCCATTGTACGGATTAATATTTATACACATCCTCCCTCTCTCGCTCTCTCTCTCTCTCTCTCTCTCTCTCCCCCGGACACAGGAGTGGCAGCAGTGGCGTGAGTACAGCGAGAATGTCTCTGCTCTCTTCGCTGGAAGGTGCCAAGAAGTTCGAAGCTGTTGAACACAGGTATGACACGTGGGTGGAAGGCGCCAGGTATTGAACATGCTGATTTCCTTGGCCCCATCACCGTACACCCTCCTTGTCGTAGAGCAGGTTTGGTTGATTGTGGCCTTGACCTGTCTGCTTCTTGAGAGATGGTTCGCTTATAAGGACCAACTGGAGGAGACTTCCAGGACATGAAATGCCTTTAAGATCTTATTATTTGCATCACTCTTGTTCGCCAAGGTGTCAAGGTACTTGCGCCCTTTGAGTTCATACGAACTAGGGCAAAAGCAGAAAGCTTGGGTCGACGCCAGGAATCACAGCTATACATCAGTGGTGGTAGCCGCTCTCTTGATTCCTTGCGAGCAGATGTCTTGACGACTCTTGATTGGTGGAAAGCTCAGGGGGCCGAGCTGCGCAGGAGTCAGGAGGCCTCCCCTGGCGACACCGTGGGCGCGGTGGCCTTGGATGCTGAGGGATGTCTCGCCTGCGGCACCAGCACTGGAGGTGTGGTGGGCAAGCGCCCGGGTCGTGCCCCTTCGACGCAGCGGGGGCAACGGCGGGCCAGTTGCAGTTTCAACCTGGGGCGTATGTGGAGCATCACCTGTTTCCCACTAGCCGATTCCCTCTATTCATGGATTTAAGGATGGAAGAGGGATAGGTGTCTTGTTTTGAGGGCACACTGTTTGGTTTGGTGGAAAGGGAGACCAAAGCAAAACCGCCATTTGTTTGACACATACCCATCTGGCCTTTACAAGCTATATGCAGGTGAGGTGATTGCAGGTTTGTTTCCCTAGCTAAACTGTTGATTCTCGGCTTTGCCGACCCTTGCAGTCGAGTCTTTTGAGCTGTTGGGCAAACATCTCGCAGTGAGGTTGGAGACTCGCCTCTCATTGGTTGTGGCGGCTATGCTGATGCTTGTGGGGCTGTGTCCGCGACCGGTCATGGCGAGGCGGCTCGGCAGTTCGCTGCCTATGGCTTCAACCCCACTAAGCAACATACATGGCTTGTGCTGAACCAGGAAATTCCTTAGGCCACAACAGCCCCTTGGTCCATGGAAAGCCCGGAGCAAGACTAAAAAGGCCCGGGCGGATGAAACACTCCATTTCCTGGCAAATTCTTCAGCATGTGGTTGCGCCAGTTCACCCGGCTTTGATTATATTTGGTCGTGCTTTGTTGCTGCGCAGATAGATGAGCAGAGTCAGCCACCAGTTCCGTTTCCTTCCTTAAACGCCAAATCAGCCAAGAACTGCTGACACCCAACGGTGTTGACTTAGCACATCGCATATTCACTTCTTTTACGTCTGCCATGTTGACGGACGGTCGGTTCGGGTTGCGAGCAATCTGAGGCCATCGCCAGAGTGACCCTCTCACGCCTGGCCCTGTGGCTGATGGCGGCAGCCTCAGTGCATGTCTTTGGGGTGAGGGGTACATGTATGACATGCTTCTATTATAATACATACATACAGACACAGACACAGACACAGACACAGACACAGACACAGACACAGACACAGACACAGACACAGACACAGACACAGACACAGACACAGACACAGACACAGACACAGACACAGACACAGACACAGACACAGACATGACATACAGACATACAGACATACAGACATACAGACATACAGACATACAGACATACAGACCTACAGACCTACAGACCTACAGACGTACAGACGTACAGACATACAGACATACAGACATACAGACATACAGACATACAGACATAGACATTCAGACATTCAGACATTCAGACATTCAGACATACAGACATACAGACATACGGACATACGTACGTACATACATACATACTCACATACGTACATTCATACATACATACATACATACAAACAGACATACAGACATACACACATACAGACACACAGACATTCAGACATACATACATACATACTCACATACATACTTACATACGTACATACTTACATACGTACATACGTACATACGCACACACGTACATACCTACATACATACATACTTACTTACATACATACATACATACGTACATACATACATACTCACATACGTACGTACATACCTACATACGTACACATGCACATACCTATCTATCTATCTACCTACCTACCTACATACATACATACATACATACATACATACTCACATAATCTCACATAATCTCACATAATCTCACATAATCTCACATAATCTCACATAATCTCACATAATCTCACATAATCTCACATAATCTCACATAATCTCACATATATACATACATACATACACACACACACACATACATACATACATACATACATACATACATACATACATACATACATACATACATACATACATACATACATGCATACATGCATGCATGCATGCATGCATGCATGCATACGTACATACGTACATACGTACATACTTACATACTTACTTACATACGTACATACATACATTCATGCATTCATACATACATACATACTTACATACATACATACTCACATACATACTTACATGCATACATACATATTCACGTACATACTCACATACATGCTCACATACATGCTTACAGACGTACATACTTACATACGTACATACGTACATACGTACATACATACATGCGTATAATATATATATATACATGATTAAAGATAGATTCAAGCATATATTGTAGTTCTCTAAGTAGTATGCGGGTTTCCTCCGGCTGCAGCTGCGTTCTGAGACTCCCAGGACTCCCATGGGCGGTGCGACTTGGCTGCCCGGGACGCTTTGGCGCGCATGCGTGCGCTTGATGAGCAAGGCGGTGGCGCAGGCCAGGCCGAGCCTCGCTTTGGAAGGCAACCAGAGGGCTAACAACCAAACCAGGACACCCCCAGCAAACAACAAGCAGCAACAATACAGAAGCCAAACAGAGCTCAGCATACACCCCAAGGGGGCTGGCGCGTTTCCACCTGTTTGTTCGATGCCTAGAGAAGAACTGTCGTTCTTGAAAGACTGATAAGTGAGTGGCAATTGGCAGCAGATGGGTTCTGCGAACAAGAGCAAGCAAGATCCACGAAATGATTCCACCTTGAGCAGGCTCAGGCAGCAAGGGATAGGTGAAAAGTGGGTTCACTCTTTTCAGTCCACGCAAACACATGGAACGCATATTTTGTCATGACGCGGTCGAGGAAAGCAAGCCCCATGAGTTTCTACCAATCTGTCCGAGTCTCACCACAAAAGCCAGCCCCGGTTTGGGCAATCCCCAACAGACGCACTCCTCGCATACAGGTGGCTTGCTGCTGCTTTCGGTGAACGGGGATGTCTCCGTGGACTTCACCACCCAGCGGATGGCCTGGGCAGTGCTGGAAGGCCAGCCACGCCTGTGCGCCGTCGCGCGCTTTGGCGACGGGGAAGACACTGGCGCATTCCGTGAGAAATCGGTTTGCGGTACGAAGGGCTTGTGACATGAGTTTTATGGCGATAGCTATGGATGGCCTGGACGGCGTTTGGCGATGTCTGCTGCAATTGCAAGAAGCCCCAACAAGCATGACAATCCCGCATGGGAGAAGTTTTTTGGTGTTGCTGCAAGCTGCTGCAGGCAAGAGACCCATTGGAGCCCAAGGCTGTTGATGTCCACTGCCCATTTGAGCGCTTTGAGTTGCATTTGCTCTTGGTTTCGAAACTGCCTGGCATTCAGGTGTGTCTGTTGGGCTCGTCTGAGTGGTTTGCTTCTTGCTCCAGCCCCAAGGCAGATTCTGAAGATCAGGTACACAGCTGTGGGCAACGCATTGCTGCATGCTTGTTGCATCAGCAGTTGTCTCCGGTAATTTGAACTTGAGTTTGCCTCAACCAGGTATTTGTTTTGGTCACACTTGCAAGGCTGCTTATCTTCCTTGTTCCCGACGCAGGCTTCGCAGGCTCAGATGGCGAGCTACACTCTGGCCTGGAAGAGAGCTATGCCTCGGCTAAAAGGGGCGGCGTCGCAAGACAGAACATGTAAAGCATCGCTTCACCGGTTGAGAGATGTTTGAGAGATGCTGAAGCCTATGCTCTGCGCCAGGCTGGCAGTTGATCGCTTCCTTGGGATTACGATCGCAGTGTTGCTTTTATAGTATCAAAGCGCGATGACCCATGGGGGTGCACTCTTCGATATTGAACTGCCTGGAGGGCTCCATGCGTGTCACCGGGCCGCTGGGCTTAAGGAATGGCATTCGAGACACAGGGACCGGCTCTCTCCAAGAGCCTCCGCCTCATTCCGCTTGCGTGCCCAATTTCGCAACCGGCCCCCCCCCACAGACACACACACACACACACAGACCCACACAAAAACACACAAACACGCACAAACACGCACACAACACGCACACAACACACACAACACACACAACACACACACACACCACACACACACAACACACACAACACACACACACACAACACACACACAACACACACACACAACACACACACACAGACACAACACACACACACACAACACACACAAAACACACACACAACACACACACACACAACACACACACACACACAACACACACACACACAACACACACACAACACACACACAACACACACACAACACACACAACACACACAACACACAACACACAAAACACACACAACACACAAAACACACACAACACACACACAACACACACAACACACACAACACACAACACACACAACACACACAACACACAAAACACACACAACCACACAACACACACACAACACACACACACAACACACACAACACACAACACACACACACAAACACACAGAAACACAGAAACACAGACACACACCTACACACAACACACAGACAGACAACACACCCACAACACACACACACACACACCCACGCACGCACGCACGCACGCACCCACACCCACACACACACACACATGCACGCACGCACGCACGCACGCACGCACGCACGCACGCACGCACGCACGCACGCACGCACCCACACACACACACACACGCACGCACGCACGCAAGCACGCACGCACGCACGCACGCACGCACGCGCGCGCGCACCACGCACGCGCGCACGCACGCACGCACGCACGCACGCACGCGAGCACGCGCACGCGCACGCGCACTCGCGCACACGCACACACGCACGCACACACACGCACGCACGCACACAAGCACACACACACACAAGCCAGAAACGAATCATTGGGAGCCAGCAACTGCGCCCCCAAACAACAAGCCTGGCCAGAAGCCAAGCTCAGCTACTTGCACAAGCGCCAGCACCTGCAAAGAACCCACCCAGCTAGCACCCAAGTTCCCCATGTCAGGATCCTTCCCCTCTTTATTACTTTCAGTGAGTGGGGTCGGTTCTGGCTCATGCTTTCAAGTTCTGGGCAAGGTGTGCCGTAGTCTGGTCCGGTCGAGGCCGCGACTGGATTTGTGGGATTGGCGCAAATCCCGATGTGCATTCAAGCCTTTTGAGAGTGCAACCTTATATTAAATTATCCCGTAGCTTTCACGTCGAGATGTGGCCTGCGAGAGCAGCCTTGATGATTGTGTTGTCCCAGAGTGGCCATGGCTTGCTGCAAGTCGAGAAAGGCATGGGCCGATCAGGGACGACCACAACCACCTGGGCCAGCCCATACTTTATGGTGCGTTGCCCAGGCACCCAGGCGGTAACGACCCAGAGCATGACGGCGGCTGAGTATGAGAGTATTGCGGCCGCCGCTCCTCAATACCAAGCACCTGCACGGCCGAGTGTACACAGGCTGACTGGCACACTGGGCCGGATGCGTCTTGCGAATGACTGGACATGATTTCATGGACTGCAAGCATGGCGAGGGAGGTGCAGACGGCTTTTGGGTCTAAACCTCTACGCGAGTCAGTGTTTTTGGCGGATTTTGTCGTCATTGCAGCCGAAGCAGTGATGGTTGCCTCTCACGGGCAGGTGTTTGCAGAAGACAGCGGCCGATGCACCATTAACTTCAAGTCCCAGTTTAAGTTTGGCTGCACCACCGCCGCGACTTGTGAATTGCATATGAGAGTCGTCCGAAAGGTCGTTGTATTCAGCTATGAAGGGGAAGACCTTTTGGTCTTAGCGTTGACCTTCGCGAAAGTTCCGCGAAGGGGGTCGCGAAAGTTATTTTTCCGCGAAAGTTTTGTGTGGCTTGCAAACAGGAAGCTGGAGTGATGAACCATGTGTATTTACCGGCAGTGCGCGCAGAATGCCCGCAGACTAAAGTTGGTCGGAGAATGCGTAGTCTGAGGGTCGCCGCAAGAATACGCCGCTGCAACAGCAACCCCCAGCCAGCAGAAACCAGCTTCTGGGAGGTTTGAAGCTGTCGGGGCAAGCTGAGCGCAACTTCCAGCCGGATTTTCGCGAATGTTTGGCGTAAGATCCGCAAAAGTTTCGCGAAAGTCGACGGACCTCCCCGCCAGTTTCCGGACATGAGGCCAACGGGTCTTCTCATGCGCAGCTTGCGGCTTGTGAGCTGGAGCTGCGGAAGCGCGCTTCGCGTGCTACTTTGGAACTGAAAGGTCGCAACTTTCGAGCTGGGGCTGCGGAAGTTCACTTCGTGTACTACTTTCGTATTGAAAAGTTCTGACTTTCGAGGCTGAGGAAGTTTAGTCGTGTACTACTTTCGTATTCAAGCCGGGCTGCGGAAGTTTACTTTTAGTACGACTTTCGCACTGAAGAGCTGCGACTTTCGAGCTGGGGCTGCGAAAGTGTACTTCGTGTACTACTTGTGTGATGAATGTTCTGAAAACAGCCCCGCGAAAGTTCCGCGATGGGGTCCGCGATAGTATTTTTTTCTCGCGAAGATGGCGGTTTCCGGAACAAGGAATTTCAGACAACCGTCATATGGCAGGTTGCCGAATCCGGAGCACAGCTGCACAGCGGTCAACGAGACGTTTGTCAACAGCATGGGGCTTACCTGGCGTCAAGCCGCTGCGCAAATGGGAGTTCACACGCTGTGCAGGGCGCAGGGGAACATTTAAGCTTACAACGGTTGGTGGAGCTCGGCACTTTTGAGCCGAAGTTCAACAACGACTAGTTTGTCTCAACTTTGGCCAAAGGCTGCGCCCGAGGTGGCGGTTGAAGGTGTGTTTGGTGTAGTTTGCTTTAGCTTCACGCCTTGCGTCAACTGTACTGTTTTGGCTCAAGTTGTACCTCCCGACGAGTAGTTTGTGGAAAAAGGACGGGCGCCGCGGCGCGACGGGCTTGCTCATCATTAGGTTCTATAACCTGGTGCTGGTGCTAGCAGTTACCCGCTTCTCCGACACGATCCACTTGGGCTTGGTCAGAACTGCTACTCCTTTGCTTTCTCAACTTTCTCTTCTACGCCAACCAATCAACTTATTTCAAGCACAACCCCAACCTGGTCACCAGCTCAGCCATCCTGAGCTTTGTTCCCTGGTTCCACTGATTACCTGTTCTTTGTGTACATTCTTCAGGTGGTCTGATTCTTGCAGTCTTCAAGTTCTACCCCAAACCACGGGTTATGAGCCGTGCAGTTCGCTGTGGTTGGTGGCCGGTCGCGGGTTGTGGCGACTTCCGGCTCTGCTGACCGGATGCCCGATGCCGAACATTTTGGCGGTCGAAACTCGGGAAGTAGCCCGAATCCGGGAAGTAGCCCGAATCCGGGGCTACCTCAAACTAGCTGCCTTGAGCTACCGGGTCAGGAGGGCCAAAATCTGGCCAATCCTCATGAGAACCTACTTCTTGATCGTTTTGATAAAGCTCATGGTCAGCGCGGAAGTATTCGCTGCGATCCCATTCTCATTGCGGGAGGCCCCTCTTACACCGAGGATGCTTCGACTTCGTCAACAAGCAGAGCGACTGGCAGGTGACAGTTGGTCAATTACATGGTCCGAAGATCCTGCAGATCCCCCAAACTTTGAAGGAGGGCACTTGAGCATTTCCGGCCTCACGCAAATAATACGAGGCATCACGGAGCGTTGCCCAATTTGATCGAAATCCAAGGTATGGATGACGCCAGTTTCATATCGATTCAACCAAACCGAACACCTCGATTGCACCAATTATGGATGCTGAGCTACAGCAGGCTGATGGACCCTGCCGCTCCCGCGGACTCTGCCGCACTCATCAATCATTTGTTGCAATGCCGAAATCCGGCGCCCGAGGCGTCATCCCTGCATAGAGATCGGTTCATCAGTAACGTCAGAACAAGGGCGGGAAATGCTCCTGTTACTCCGAAGAAATTGGGCAAACCCGAGAGGGCGAAGATGCCGCTCCTTCCACAAGGCTCAACCTGCGACTGCGTACTTCAGGACCAGCGCTTCTACCATTGGCTCGCCCCCCGAAAGTAGTTCTTCTTTGACGAAACCCAAAGTGGCAAAGCGGCGCTAACAAAGCACGTTTTGTGAGCAAGCGGTGGTGTGTAGGGAATCGCAATTTTGACCACCCCCCCGGATGCAGGGTTGATCAAACTTGTTGGAACATGTTTGAGCAGCTGTTTCATTAACGGGTTGTTGTTTGTCTCCATTCCAAGGAGGCCCTGAAGCTGCCATTGACACCTAGTTTGCTTTGTCTGCAATCCACAATGCGACAACTCAGGTTTGAACTCAGAGCTGTCCTGGGCCTTGGGCGCTCCGACAAATGGCCACTGGACGAGTGGCTGGCATCCTATGAGGAGGACATGACAATTTGCAACAGATTCGATGGCTCATATGCATCTTGTAGCCTTGCATGTGCGAGAGTTAGGTTTAGGCCGTTCCTCAAAGTTGCATAATGTGTTGAAATGTGTTGACGTTTTGACCATTGCTTATAGTCTCAACCAATCGAGTTCAAAGATCAAGGATTTTTTAGGCACTCGCAGAGAAAGAGGCTTGTCCTATGTTTTCTTGACAGGTAGAGCCGAATTCTATGCCCACTAGACCAGGAATCAACTGAATGCATCGTCCCGGAAAAGCGATTCTCAGCAAATTGTCATCAAAGATGCGGCAGATTGGGAACGGCTTTGTTTGTGCATTGGTGGCAACGATCAACATCGTAGGACATTTGAAAATAGATCAACAAACTACTCAGCCCTCAAACAATCAGCCTAGCCTGCTTGTTTACCGCGGCTACACCTGAAGCAGAGCTGGGCTGTGGCTGAAGGAAAGCAAACGCCATTCTGTCAGGACGCTTTCGAGCCTGAGATCGCCATTTTCGATGGGCACACCCACATGCAGGATCCAGCAATACATGACAAAGGATATCCTTTTCCGAAAGTCATGCTGAAGATGCTGTACTTGCTTAACCGGCAGGCCTTCGGTTCATGGGCTCCAAGGGCTCAAATTGACAGATGTCAAACGGCAGATTGCATGATTTGCAGTAGCAAAAGACACCTCGGTTCACAGGAAGTTGTCATAGGAGTATGCCAGTTTTTGCGCATCCAGCTTGCGAGGTGCTGGTTCACAAGCTGGCCACCAACCTGCAGTTCGCCACCATCGTCAACTGCTACGGCAAGCGCCTTCCACTCATCGTCCCGTACATGGGGCCGGACATGCTGCGGGATATCCAAGGCACAATGTGCAATTTCAAAGTGAAAGATGCCTGTCCGAAAATCAATGATAAACCTGAACGGAGAGGTGGTGCCATCTACTTTCACCCAAGTGCAGTTCTTCCAAACTTCAAATGTTCTAAAGTTGTCTCTCCATCCAAGGGTATTTAACCTGTGTCTCCAACATGTGCGTTCTCAAGTGAGTTCATGAATCCTCATCGGGAATCCCTAAGCTCCGACTTCCCAACGAATTCAGCTCGGCTGGCTGCATCGCTTTGGGCGCAAGTTCGGTGTCGAAGGCAATGGGCGGGGCCACACCGTGGTGGGCACTTTGTTCGTGGAGAGCGGCTGGCAGACGCCAGGCGCAGAGCCCGCCATGGCCAAGGCCGGGAACTATCTCATGTTGAATTGCCACCAAAGTTTAGAAAGATACAAGAGAGTTCAAGAGGACTTAGCTATGAGTTTCGCGGCTTGGCTTTTCCTGGAGCTAAGCTGCCATGGATCGACCCTCTGCAGAATCAGCACAAACCATGGCTCGGTGAGCAGGCGCTAGTGAGCTTGCCGGTCTCATGTTTCCAGAGACTTGGTGATGTTGTGTTTTGCAAAGACGGTGCCCAGCACAAATGTGTGAGTAGTCCGTGACTCTGCAAGTTTCCCGGGTCGGGCATGTTTGGACTGGGATGGGCCAGGCAGGTTGCATTGAGATGCTTTGTGGTCAGCGTTTGCTTGCTGACTGGTCAATCCCCAATCAGCATGCTGACTGGTCTGCCATGACGGACTGAGGTCAAAGAAGCTGACATGGCAACAGTGGCCCGGCGGGAGAGGGCCTGGGATGAATGGAGGGCAAGAGGAGGGGATCCCGGTGTCTTGACAAGCTGACCACTCCTGGTTGACACCGTTTACGTTCATGGGGACTGTTCATCGAACCATACTTCGTCCTGGAAGCGGTGACAGACCAGCGATGAGGTGGCGGGCAGTTGTGGTGACGGTAGCAGTGGTGGCACTCGCAGTGCAGCGAATTTTGTTGGAATTTGCCACACTCGCACATTGCCACTCGTGTGCTTGCACTCTTGAGCTTACCTAGAAAAATTGAGAACAACTCTGGGGCCAGTAACGTGGTCTTCACCGCTGTGTGTTCAAGTTCCATATTTAGACGCTGACACGAAACAGTACCCTTCATTTAATTCCTTTCCCCTAATTTCCCTTTATTTCCATTTAGTTTGCTTGCTTTCCCTTCATTTCCTTGCAATTCCCTGCAGTTGCCTTTATTTTTGTTCACTTCCCTCCATTTCATTTCATTTCATTCAATTCCCTTCATTGCTCGCATTTCTCTTCATGCCCCTCCTTTCCCTAGCCCGTCCCTTATCTGCATCATTCAGGATGATGCCAGCAATGCAGAGGATGCTGTCCAGCACCGCGCCCCAAAAACACTCCTTTTGTGATCCGTGGCACATCCTTCGCCCCATAGCAGGGATGACGCAACGACGCAGCGCGAATAGTCCGAGCATCGTCGTGTTCTGCGCTGGGTTGTTCGGGCTGATGGCCGGGTTTAAGGGCTGCCGCCCCGTGCCCCTTCGGAACTAGTGGTCAAAGAAACAAAGAAACCAAAAAAGCACAAACAAAGAAGACGGCATCGCCAGCATTGCAAGCGGCCCCTGACGTATGATGATTATGAGGATGAGGATGACGATGACGATGACGATGACGATGACGATGACGATGATGATGATTATGATTATGATTGTGATGATGATGATCCGAGTGATGATGATGAAGCAAGAATGATATGACCACCATCCTTCCCGTGCGCCTCACCCTTTGCAAGGGGTCGGCGGATCAATGTGGGGCTGAGCTGGGCTGGCCGAGACACGCCTGTTGCAGCTGAGGATTTGCACAAGCAGTTTCCCAAACTTTGCCAGGCAGGGTGGGTCACACTTCCTTGAAAAGACCTTCAGCAGTTGGTCTCCGACTAGAATCTAGAACATTCTAGAACCCAAAGGAGGCCTTTGCACTACGAGAGCTTGTGTTGTGGGGCCAACCTACATCAAGTACCTGAATAGAACCTGTACATAAGGCAGGGGGTTGGTAGTCAACAAATTCGCTTGGGTTTCATGACAATGCTTGATTCGATCAGGGTTGGTGGGGGGGGGTGCAGTCGCCTCGACACCTCGATCGCGTTGTTCCACTCACATTTCCACAGCCTCGCGCGTGGCTTTCTACGCCAGGGCATTGTCGCCGCCGTGGATTTGGGGCTCGGTGCAGAAGTAGAGCCTGCATTGGCCTACTATCAGAAGACGCTTGCTTATGGAATGGTACGGTTTCAAAGGATGTTGCTTGTATATGATATGCGTGCTTAGGTGGCGAGGTGGAAAGCCACTAGTGATTGAGGCATCGGAGTGATGCAGATTGTGTTCCAATTCTTTGCACCGGAACCTTTCCCGAAGAGAAACCACTCTGTGTTATTGCTAGCACCAAGGAATCCCATGGTCAAAGCCATCCGTCATGGCGTCGCTTTCTCGGCAGACCCAGCCATATTCACGCCTCCTCAAGTCACGGAAGATTTGGCCTACGACACCAAGTTCCGGGAGGGACTGGCCCTGCTAAAACAGTACGGCTTTGTCTACGAAACCTGGAACTATCACGAGCAGTGCCTTGGATTTCGACGGGATCGAGTGGATGCCGAGTCTTGTGACGTCAGTGTTGCACGCCGCACAGCTATGATTTGGACTAGGCATCATTTGTTTTTTCTGTCAACCTGCCTCCTAGGCTAGAGGACATCGCAGATCTGGCCAAGACCTTTCCTGAGCAAACCATTGTTTGTGACCACCTGGGCATGCCTCTGGGCCTTGGTCACTGGAAGCGCGAGGAGGCCATATTGACCGAGACCCCGAGACTTTATGGAGCTTAGCGGCTGTTTGAGCAAGCAAATGAAAGGAATGTGTATCTCAGCAAGCACAGTTTTGTTGGGACCGAGTAGCATGTGGCAACGGACAGCCAGCTGATTTTGAGGTTGACCCGCGAGGCAAGTCTAGCAAATGGTCATGAGCAAAAATGTTGATTGGACTCGCATTGGCATGTATGCGAACGTGACCACAAGAAGGACGTTTTTGATCAATGCACAAAATCTTATATGAGGTCATGGCCATGTTCACCAGGGCGGGCTGCTGCCTGTGCAATTTTGTCCCGTCGCGCTGACTTGAAAGCATCCAGTGCCCCAATATCCATGAGGGGCAGCTTTTTGATCAGCTATATGGCACGCACAAACTGACACCGAGATGGGCGGGCCCTTGTGTTCGACCCCCCATATTCATGCAGAAGCATGCGAGAGCTTTCGGTGCGCAGGTTTTTCCGAACTGGCAAGTCCTGATGGAAGAGCTTGCAAAGCCGCTCGGCGTGACAGGGGCTTTCTTTGCGAAGCATCCCTTTTCCCCAGACTCCGCTTTCCATCCAGGACATGGGTATCTGTCAAACAGCCGCCGCAAAACGGTTTGACTGTTGGCTTCCCTCCCAATCAAGGTCTAGGTGAAAAGTGGACCCTTGAAACTTCACACACATCATGAACTGAAAATGGTACAGAACCACCTTCAAAGCTGTTCCTCCAAAGCACATGACTCCCCTAAGTGATGTCCACAGAGCCGTACTTTAAAGTTCACTAAAATTCACAGCCGTACTTTAAAGTGAGGTGCCCCAACGTCTTCGTAAAGATCGGGGGCCTGGGCCAGCGCTTCTTCGGCTTCGGCTTCGATGAGCGGCTGTCGCCCCCCAGCAGCGATGAGCTGGCGATGGCCTGGCAGCCCTACGTGGAGCATTGCATCAAGGTCTTCGGCGCCACTCGGAGACAACGAATACAGGTACCCTGTTTGGTTGATCTGATTCAAAAATGGAGGGCGATTCCTGGTTTGCCTGGTGGTTCAATCAACTACCAGGGCAATCTATTTTCCCAAAAAGGACACTTATGGCCATGAATTTCATGGGGAAGCGTCCTCGGTTGGTGGACAGAACCCCAAGGAAATGATGTCCGCCAATGGGCCCCCAAGTGGAAGTTCAGAGCCTTCAAATGGCTTGCACTGCCGGACCAAAGGCTTGCACTTTTGACTTTTGCCTTTTTGGTGTTCCTTCATGGCCCAGAAACATAATATGTAACTGTGTGCGGGGGGCATAAGTCTGGCCCAGCTTTTTGTTTTGACCATGGCTGCTAGTCGCAAAGTACCCTGCCCCTTCAGGAGGGTCCACAGTTTTGAGACAACGCCATATTAGTTTGTAAATTCGGGCATATGCTCATCCAACTCACACGCTTAACTTCAGTTCAATCCAACCCGCCGGAAAGTGAAAAGACAGACATTCTTTGGGTCACCAGTTTTAGAGCTTGCAGCCTGTTCTGCGGCATGGGAAGCGAAAGGAGCAATGGGAGCCTGTGTAGCAAGTGCAGTTGTGAGGTCGATCGATGCATAATGGAATCCAACTTCCCCATCGACAAAATCAGCTGCAGCTACACTGTCTGCTTCAATGCCTTGAAGAAGTGTGTGAGAAGCCTTTCGAAGGAAGAAAAGCACAAGCTTTTCGAACTTAATGCGCGGCGCGCTTACGGCTTGTGATGACCTTTGGAGATTTACTCAGGCTCTTGGAGCTTTTCTTAGTTTTTTTTTTTTAGGCTCTTGGAGCTTTTCAGGCACTGCCACAGCAGTCATGATGCTGTCATGATCGGCCACATGGCCTACCCAATGTGCTGGCAATGCTGGCAATGAGCTTCTGCATTGCGATGTATTTGTTTAAGCGGTCAATGATTTTTTATTTATTTTTATTCTTTGCAGAGTTGTCCAGAGACATACTGGGGTTCCCATTTGTTTCTCCTGGCGGGCAACCATTTAAGTGATCTCAAGTGGCCTTTGTGGCGTTCGGGTGCTACAGTGTGACTGGAACAACTCTGTAGATTCGCTAGATCAAGTTGTGCCATTTTTCCAAGCGGCTTGTGCCATTGGGCCAACCGTGGCGGGCGCTCAGGCCAAGGGGCCAGTCGGACCAGTCGGAAAACCGTGTTGTTCAGACACCAGTGCGAGCAAGCACCGAGATGATGACAACTGACGATGACGGCGAGGATGATGAGGATGATGATACCGCCCCTGCCACTGCCGGCTGATGATGGAATTGGTGATTAACATGATTGCCTCTGTTATCGCGATGATGCTGATGATGATGCTGTTTACAACGTTGATGCTGACAATGCGGACGGTGAAGCTCGTGATGCTGATGGTACCGATCCTGATGATCGCGGATGATCGTGATGGTACTGGTGGACATGCTAAGAGCTAAGCACTGACCATGCTCATCGCGATCAGTGTTGCTACTTGATTGTGGAAGCTGGTTTATGCTGTGACTGAATAGTATTGCAGCCTTGCCTTTGAGTGCACAGCTGCCTGGGAGCAAGACGAGATGCTGGCTAGACTTTGGAAGGGCAGAAACTCAGAGGAATGAGACCTAGACACTTGACACACCAAAAGCCTCTTCCAACATGTTTGTAATGTGGGCCACTGATGACTAAAGGCCCCGCCTCAAATTTTGGGGACTCAACCGAGAAAACCGGCAAGATGGGCCTTTCCCGAGTTTAGCACTGGCGTAGTATTGGCTAGTATTGGTTTAGTATTGCTTCGTGCTGCCTTAGTACTGGCTCAGTAGGGCTTTGGATTAGTTTAGTATTGGCTTAGTATTGCTTTGGTTAGTTTAGGGGATGGCTGCTGTTTCCGGACAAACAGCGGACAATCAAGCACCGTTTTTCTTCACATTAAGTCCCAGTTTTCTTGTCCGAACCAAAGAACATATTATTATTATTATTATTATTATTATTATTATTATTATTATTATTATTATTATTATTATTATTATTATTATTATTATTATTATTATTATTATTATTATTTATTATTTATTATTTATGATTTATTATTTATTATTATTATTATATTTTTTGTTATTATTATTATTAGGTACGCTTTTTCATGGATTTGGGATAGTTGTGTAATGTAAAAGCTTCATCGTTCTTGGCACCCCTTAATTAATACCGACAATAAGGGTTCAAAATCATGATTTGCCGCACTCACAGATTCTAGCAGGCAAGTCTTGACTGTGTTTTGGGGCTGGCGGCTTGAGAAGCCCCAACAAGGAAGAAACAAGTGCATTGGGTGCGGCTACACTTGGCTTGGCTGCGCTCTCGCAGCGGAGCCAGGAGTTGGAGCGCCAAGGTGTCCTGGAGAGAGGGGCCTTGTTAACTTTCGCCCAGCTCCCGGCTGTCCTCAAATGGGTTTATATCGCTTCGTTTGGCGATCCAAGGCACCAATTTGGTTGGGCTAGTTTTCAGCCGGAACTGTGGGTTGAGTTGGGGTTGGAGTGAGATTTGGTAATGTATTGCTAGATGGGGCAACGAAGCATTGATTGTTTGGTTGGAGCCATACAGTAGCCGCCGTGCCGTGCCCTGCAAGTTTCTGGAGTGTGCGTTGCCTGATGCCTGTGTTGGTGGTTTGGACGTTTGATGCAGTTTTTGTTGAACATCATGGTAGTGTCTTGGCTCTGTGCTAAGTGCTTCTTCTTGGTGCAGTGAGGTATAGTGTGAGAGAGCGAGACGCGCCAAAGTTTCTTGCTAAATCAAACGTCACCAGTGAGTTGCAAGGCAGTGTCCTTGCCTACACTTGCACGACAAGGAGGCGGAGAGGGTACTCGATCAGAGTTCTTCTCGGGCTGTGCTCAGGTGAGACATTGCCTGGAGCCTCCATCGTAGCAACAAATTATGCCTCCCCCCTGGTTGATACACAAATTGACACGTTGTAGCATGTTTTCCTCCACAATTGCTTTCGAGCACTTTGTCGGATTCGAGCAGAAATCAAGTTCGGTCGTTTCATATTCTTTCACCGGGCGAGTTTGGGAAGAGTCATCAACGAAACGAGCGCAAAAAAGTGCAAAACGAGCGCAAATCGGCGCAAACAAGTGCCAAAAACGTGCAAACGAGCGAACATCCCAAACAAGGTACAGCGAATGGGTTCCGACGGGCGTGTGATTGCTGACAACTCGAGCGATTTTTGTTGAATCGCACATTTATTTCCGAACAGTTTTTCACGAGCAGAAATATTTCGAGCAAAAAATAATGTATCAATGGAGGCTGCAGGTGGCGTTTGGATTGGGCAAGGGGATCAGAAGGTAGGCATGCAAGAGTGGCGTCCATGTGCCCAGTGCCCTCGAGTCCGTGGATCCATCGGACTTTCCTGCCGATTCGCCGATGCAACGGCCTGGTGGCGTCAATAGCTGGCACCCTTTGCAAGCACAGGAGCCTCCACACATGCAGGAGCCGGGAGACTTAGTCTATACGTGATCGTGATCAGTAGTTCATCTTTGTTTATTGGGGCTCGAGCTAATCAAAATTAATCGATCAACGAGGATGCACAGATTTGCTTGCACGGCGCGCTTTCTGTGTGCAGGCTTTGTTTTGCCTCGGGCACATTTCTTTCACATGTCAGGTGCTGTTTGATTCCCGTGTTTGCTTCCCACCAGGTCAATGTAGCAACACCCCTCGACATGTGCTTCAGGTGGCGGAATTCACCGCAGAGGAGTGGGCAACCTGATGGGTATGAAGGTTGTACCATACCTTTGTTTGGCGTAGTTTGGCGGTTCGAGTTGTTGACGGTGCGAGCCGCACTTGCAAACGTAAGCTGTTTTGTCCGGACTGACTGAAGCTTGGTGCTTCGACCCGTGGCATTCGCGACTTGTGAGCTCATAGCGCGAGACCAGGAGGGTACTGTGGGTGTGCCACCTCGAGTGGCACTCTGCTTGACGAAGGCCAGGTCCGCACTTGTGGCCGGAAAATGCTTCGGATCGGCTGTACGCGCTCGCCAGCTGCAATGTTGAGTTGTGTTGAGTTTCTTTCTCGAAGGGGAATTAGTGAGAGTAACTTAGTCTCATTCGTTTGCGGCTGCGCAGCAAGGGCATCGGGAACTCTATTCGCAATGCCGTCTTTTGAGTGGTGCAGGGCTCAGACCAAGCGTCAGTACTTGACGCTGGCTGGTAAGCATGAGGGCGAATGTTTGAAACATCCAAATTTCCAAGGACCGTTAAGTTTGCATCGTTTGAGACTGAGTTTTGATTGCAGATAGCGGCATCGCTTGTCAGGGGGCCGGCCTCGAGACGCTGGATGCAGTGGGGCAAGTGGAGATCCGGTACGCCGCAGCCTCGGGTGGGAGAGGATTTGAAGTAACCTCAAAATGGACGCCCAAAAGGTACTCTCCAGGCTGTTTACACGTTTGTGGTTTTAATGCAAGTTGCAGCCAGCCGCACGAAAGGTTTTGCTCAGTTGAGAAGGGGTCTGGCCGACTTGGGTCCCTCTTGGATTTGCCATAGGACAATTGCGGAAGTCAACTTCAGTCGTTTCCAGGTCACCAACTCGCCCAAGCCGAGGGAGGTACCAATTTTCCCATATGGAGTGCGGATCACTTGGGCCCAGGTGAAGCTGCCCCGCTGTGCCAAGAGCAAGGTGAAGCTGCAGCCTCGCGGGGAGGCGCAGAGAAAAATGCTGGCCATCCCTTTTGGCCTTACACGACTTGGGTGCGGCTCCTGATTTGGAGGCACAGTCAAGTTGCTGTGTAAAGGTTGGTCCTCGAAATTCCCGATCCCCGGCGAAGACTCAGCAAAATACAACTATGACTCACTGTACATGATCTCTTTAGGAAGACACTTCGACATGCACAAAAGAGGCTGGAACCGCATGAGCGCGCTCCTCTGCATGTACCGCATGCACCACCAAAGCGGTTTCAATATCGCCCCAATGTTCACGCCTAATCGGCTCGACACAAATTTGGTTCAGAAAGGATGCCAGCCTTTTTAACCCATGCTCGCACAACCCTGTTCCTCGAAACAGGCGTACAAGGAAATTTGAACGGTTGCTACGTATTGTGGAAAAGCCCGGACCTTTACATTGTCGGAGCACTAGTGCAAACCGCCCCAGTCATTTGCGTAAAAGAGGGTTGTTTCTCATGGTTCAATGCTGTTTTCCGAAAATCTGCAAGTTGACACCCAAGGGAGGTACAACACTTGAAAGTGCAGTGTTGGCAGGCAGACCCTTAGTGCAGTCCTTCTATGCAATCGAAAGCTGAAAGCTTCACGTTGAGCATCCGGCCAGGGCTTTCATGCAGGCGGAATGAAGGTGGTGTCCTTGGACTTGGAGCATGTCCGCGGCTCAGCACGGCAACGGCAGTTTTTATGGCCTTGAAATTGATCTTGTTCCGGTTGCAGGTTCACTGTCAACAGTCATCGTCATTTGCTGTGAGGGGATGAGGTGCACGCACACGCACACACACACACACACACACACACACACACACACACACACACACACACACACACACACACACACACACAACCACACACACACCCACCCAACCCACCCTCGCAGCCCTGCAACCGCAGCGCTAACGCACGCACGCACCAGCACTGCACAAGCCCCCAACCATGGCCCCCAAACAGTGCACGCACCACGCACAGCACCGCCCCCACGCACGCAACCCAACCGCACCGCACGCAACACCAGCACGGCCCAGCAGCGCTAACGTTGCGACGCACGCACAGGACACAGCACCGACACACACCCGCACGCACGCACGACAACAAACACACAAAACCGCACGCACGCACGACACCAAAGCCCCACACACACAACCCACACCACCCACACCACCCACCCACCCACCCACACACACACACACACACACACACACACACAAACACACACTCACACACACACACACACACACACACACACACACACACACACACACACACACACACGCACACACACGCGCGCGCACACACGGAATCGCCATGCATGAGCTGGTGACTCAGAATACCCATTAAAGCATGCTTGGTTTATTGCTGCGTTGCTGACACATGAACTGTTTGGCATTAGGTTTGTTTTGTTTTGCTTGATTAGGCTGATGCTGATGGGAAGCAAGCATACAGCGTGATGAGGCAAGTCTGACCTCTGAGCGCAAGCAAGACAGGATGTCAACATCATCTGACAGCTGACAGCTACAGTGCTTTCACAGTTTTCCCTGACTCCTGAACATGGGTGTTACGTCACACAGGTCGAATCGGAGCCAAGAGGGTGAGTGTCTAGGTGTTGCTGGAGACCTTGCGCGGCCACACTGCACTAACTCTGGACTGCGCCTCATTTGCCGCCTTGGTCGAAATCAGGGGCTCGGCATAGTCTGCCTCCTAAAAGGTCACAAGAGGTGCCTGACCGCCTGATTCAGACAGATTCAGTGAATTCCAGTTGATAGCGCAGCACTTCAGCCTTTGTCGTACATGTAAGATATAGGGATTGTCACAGACCTCGAATAGGGAATTTCGACAGCAAGTCTTCCTATCAGTTCCTATCCCTGCCCATGACCCACATGAGGAGTTTCGACCCTTGCTGGCCCTTGCTCATGTGGAGATGTGGAGATTGTCAAGCTTTGCCTCGGCAGGGCGACTGGCTGCCAATCCGGCACCAGGGCCAGACCTACGAACTGATGGTGTGGGCCACAGCATCTGTTGCCGAGCTCCCTGTAGCAACTCTTATCAGTGCCTTGCTGAGCACACTTGTTTGCTTTGAATGCGGAGAACGATCTTGGATTGAACTCATGGAAATCTGGCTCCGCTGCAGGATTGAACTGAATGCAGTACACGAACTGATTAGCATGTTTTAGCCATGCATGATTTCTTCATATGTGAGATATGTCCAAAGGACGTTAACAAATTGAGCCAATGCCCAGGAATGTGATGGTGCTTAACCAGCAAAGGAGCAATGCAAGACATGGTAGTCTGTGCCTCACGGACTTTGTGACACCGACACTTGTCAGTATTACAACCTTGCTAATGTTGATCAAGACATCGCAGGGAGCTAAAAGGCAACAGACACGCATGCACAGAGCAAGTCGTAGGCACGGCTATTGGGGGGTTGGCCATGAGCCATGGAAACTCCCTACGAGAACTTTGGCAAGGAGGAGCTGCTGAGGCTGCTGACGCTGCGGGATCGCAAGACACGACCTCAGGCCTCAGGCCTCAGGCCCTCAGGCCTCAGGCCTCAGGCCTCAGGCCTCAGGCCTCAGCCCTGCGCGTGAGTTCACGAGGGAAGAAGAGCTCGACCAAGCGTTGCCGAGGATAGCTCGCTGTGAGTATGAAATCCTCTCGCTGAAGGAGGACCGGAATCCACGAGATGTCAGCACTTGTGGCGAGTAATGGAACACCCAGGCTGACAGACTTGGGCACTTGACCTGCTACGTTTGGACATGTTGACCATGATGTCACCCTGCGATCAGGTTCCAAAACCAACGCATTGCTTTTCGAGAGCTGAGAGTCCTGATCCAACAAGCGGAGGTTTCAAGGATAGGAAGTTCATGGGAAGTTGAGGATCTAGCACTTCAAACCTCTGAATATCTTTGAATGTTTATCGAAAGCCGCATACGCAATGTTGTCAGGAGCTGTCACGATGCAGAGAGCGAGAGTCGCTCTTGAAGGCAGAGGTGGTGGCCTGGATTGAGAAAGTCAACTTGGGATATTTGCGGATTCAGAAGTGCATGACTGAGAATATGCTCCCCCAATCATTTCCGAGGTCACCCAAGGCTCGGTATTCTTTTCTGGCGATGGGAATTGTCCTGTTTGACACTATATTTGTCGAGCTTGTGTGCCGCCCGTACAATGTTCACTGTGCTGCTGACTCAGCTGGTTTGCGTGCATGGCTTTCAGGCAAGTATTAGAATAGTTGCAGGATAAGCATGTCCATTTTGAGACTGTGATTTATTTGTTGAGCTGGTTGGTCTCAAGGCTTGGTGACAACCTGCTTTGACACACGTCCACCGCTTGTGTACAGCTCAGGAGCACTTAGAGATTCTCTTCGAAGATGACGCCAGAAAGGCTCTTTTTGGCTGGATGCATGCTAAGCTTCCTGTGTTGGCTGCTTTATGTTATGTGCAACAAAACCACCTTGGAACCGACAGTGCCATGTCAGTCAAAGTTGGCTCAGGTGATTTGGCTGCGTGTTTTTTGAGGGTACCCGTGTTGGGGCTTCTTTCAAACAACCAAGCCAAAGGGAAGCCACTTTTTTGGGGTTCCCTCACACAAACACGCCCATTTGCCTGTGCAGTTGCCCAAGCCGCGCGGCTTTCCGGCAGCTCCGCGCCTGGACTGCAGCAGTTTTTAATGGAATGCCATGAGGCTGCAGGTAAAGCCGGATCTAATTTGGCTGAAGGCGGACGCCCCATTGTGTTTGTTCATTTAGGCCAGCTGCCTACTTTGAGTTGCCAGGCAATGGTCGGGTGTAAGGGAACTGCTTTGCATTGCTGAGGGAGCAATCGATGCCATCTCCCACTTCTGCGCCTTTGTCCCCGCAAAATCACCTGGACCAGGCAAACCAGCGCTACGACCAGGCCGGTTCGCGATCGTCGAAGGGTTGCGCCGTGACTCAAGCGTAAGCATGACGGCTTCGCAAGCGGACAGCCAGAGGCATCTTCTGCTGCTATGCTTTCTTTTGCTGACACAACTGGAGTGACATGTCGCAAGCACAGGCTGGCAATTGCCAGCAGTTCGGCTGACGCATGGTGGCCATGCACCCGCCAGGTGCTCAGCATTGCAAACAAGGCCTGGAGAGATTGAAATGTGAAAAGCTGTGCAGAGTTGTGAGGCAAGGCTTGTTTGCAAAGAAAAGTGTATTCCATTTGGTAGGCGTTTAGTGTTTGCAGTTGGCTGCAGGTAAGACAACATGTGTTTAGAAGCAGCCATACGCGAAAACATTCCAATGCAGCTATCAAGACCTAGGCTCCTTGGCTGGTCATATCGAAGTATTCCAAGCTGGCGCAGCCAGCATGTGCAACCGTCAAAACCTCCAAAGACAACTTTAGCAGGGAGTGGACATGAAGTGTGCAGAAACGTGGGAAACACTGGACTGCGATAGGCCTCCTCCAAAAGCGCTACCCGAAGCCAGCTGCAGTGTACTTCGCATACACTCGTATTACAGGGGTGCAATTTTGAGCAGCTGCGAAAGGTGGACTTTATGATCTTTATGTGCTATACTTGCAGCACTTGCACTGCAAAGTTTTGCGGTTTTGAACAGCGCCAGGCCTCTGAGGCTTGGAGCCGTGTCACGGAGGCGCTGGCGGAGGCGCCGGTGAGGGCGGTGAGGGCGGTGAGGGCGGTGAGGGCGGTGAGGGAAAAGGCCTCTGCAAAAAACGACCTCTTCACAAAAGTTGTTTTCTTTTTTCGAGGCGCTTGAATGTGCACTTGAATGGGCCAAAGACTGACACATCAACTCAGATGTTTCGCTAGGGGCCGGTTGCGACGGACCCGAGAATGGATTATATTGCGCACCTAATATGTTGTATTTTGCCTTCTTTGTTTTGTTTTTTTTTTTGGGGGGGAGGGGGGAAGAACTGGAGGAATTGACTGGAACTGGCCCAGGATGGTTCACTGCTCCAAGGGCATTTTTGTTTGGACAATTTCTAAAGGGCTGATTTCTGGAAAGCTGGGCTGCTCAAAATCCAGGTTCGACCACTCCTAATCCATAATCCACAGTGAACTCAGTGAATGAAAAGTGTTTTGCATGTGTTTGCTTTTGGCGCTGAGTTGGTAAAAGTTGCAGCGAACTAGCTCAGCAAACTGCTTATGGACCGAATTTCATCCCATTGTTTTGCTTTAGTCCTTGCTTTGTAGCATTGATTTGTTGGGCTTTCTTCTCCAAGTCAGGAGCAAGGCATGAGATACTCCTCCGAATTGCTCCGATGATTTGGCAGACACCTAGGTCAAGTGGGCCTGTTGGGAGTCAAGCAGTATGCAGCCGACTTGCAGAAGTGTCTCATTTACTGGGTGTGCACGGCTATCACAAGACGCGCCTGGGTTTTGGACTTGTTCGTTTTGGATTATCACTTTCAGGCTCCATGGGTGAATGATCGATCATGTTCCAGCCTTGTGAGAGGGGCAATCGGAGTGACAGGTGCAGACCAAACCCTCTCCTTGAAGCAGGAGCCAGCTGCATGCTGGCGCTTTGGCGGCTCACTTCCAGTCGAGTTCTGACATGACTCAGCCGTTTTGTCGGTTTACCAGTTGTGCGCTCGCAGGAGCGAGACCCGCGTCCAGAACTCCCGACGCCCACCGTCAGGAAGGTGGAGCTCAGAGCATCGAGTCAATGAAAGCAGGTGGCTGACAGCTGCACGCGTGAGAGACGTTCCATCTCGATCACGACGCTCCAGTCACAAGCCGCTGATGAAGCTTGAGATTTGGGCAGGAGGAATCAATTCCGAGGCACTGGGCACAAGACAACAATGGTCAACAAGAGTGCTCATAGAATCCAACCACTCATCTAGATTTTGGCTGGCTTGAAAGCACTGCCTCCAAGAGGCATGTGCTCAGATGCTTGCACGTGGAGGCAGAAAAGTGGGAGAAGATGACCAGGCGCCGCAAAAAATACCGCGCAACTACCTATCAGCACCTTTCAAGGCCACATGGCCCCCGGCTTTGCATTGATATGGCACCGCACAACGCTGGCCCGTCTTGATACAATAATTACAAAGGAGGACATCGGTTCAAAAAAGCATGACTTTGCAGGTCAAATGAGGGCTCTTGAAACGCTAGTGGTTTGCAAGGCCCAGCTGCCAAACCTCGCTCCAAGCCTCGCTCGAGGTTCGAGATTTGGAGCCGGAAACAGAGATGGCGCTAATCGACACTGACCTGACAGTGGAGGCCAGTCTGTAATTCTTTGGGCAGGGTGTTCTGTTCGGCTCACGGATGGAGAGGAGTTTGGGCCGTACACCTAGTGCGCATGACTAGCATTGTCCTACCAGGCGGGTTGTTGCAGCTGAAAAGATTGTCTCAACATGTCCAAATCCATCTGCAGCTGTTTCTACTCACGGCTATCGCTTGAGTGCAGTACTTTGATGGCAAAGAAGCGCAGTGCATCAGCCAACAGGGGGCGCATTGTGTTGCTGTGCGGCAACACAGACGATCACGCTTTTATTAGAAAAGCTTTGCAACACAAGCCGACAAGAGTGCTTCTCTTAAAGTGGTTGCTAGTGGTCTGGGTCATTTCAAAGAGCAGCTCCTTGCCGGAGTCAAGTGGCGAGCGCCATGTTTTTGATCTTCCGCGTTCTGGGTCACTTGAAGGTCCTCAGCAAGTCCTCGACACTGCAGGCAATTGTAACTTTGCTCCTTGGACAAACTGGGCGGATAGTTTGTGGCAGATCTGTCAGGGTTTCTGGTATTTTGCTGCACCATGCTGGCCCACGTTGTCGTCTTTGGGATTCGCGCGAGATACCCCAGAAGCATGTCAAGTGCGAACCATGCCCAACAACAAATTGATGATTGATAGCAGACGTTTGGGTCCCAAAGGCCAAAATTAGAAAGCTTTGAGTGAGAATCTTGCGGCATCTGTGGGCAGGGCACCGGACATACTTTGCTGAGGCTGCAACTCTATTAGCCATCAGCTTTCTAGATGCTGCCAAAGACCTGCTTAGCCTTAGCTCGGGTTCTTGGGTATGACAAGGATGGTCATACATGTTTTGAGAAGGCTATTGACAATCAGTACGCAAAACACGGACACATGTCGATTTCCTATGAAGAAGTTGTGACCTTTGCATGCTGGACTGCCGTATGCCCTCCATCGGAGGCCCACTGTCATATCGTACATACATTGTGACCAGGCCAAAAGTTATCAACATCAGGCGTACCCAAAGCGTCTCTGAGGCTCGTCGCCGGACACTTACTGGAGACGGGCGAGTAACAAACCACCAAGCCAACAAGCAAAGGCCCATCTTGAAATCTGCTGTCCTGTTGCAGGCTTTGAGAGCCTGCAGGTCTTCTCAAACCCTGTGTGTTATGACGAGTCCTTCCGTCAATTCAGACTGCCATGCCAAGGATCTTGTACACGGTCTTTGCGGTGCTTTTCTTTGCCAATGTTGAAGATTGGGACTGGTACCAGGCCCAGTCTTCAAGTTGCAGTTGCCATATAATGACAGATGTTGGTTTTGGGATGAGTTGCGAGAATCTGTGATTCACTGATTGCTTGCCGCTCTTATCGGGCAGTGGGTCGCGTAGGCGTCGCGCGAATGGTTCGCTTAGGGATCGCGCAAATGGATCGCTCCGGGATCGCCTTTTGGCAGAAGGCTTATCGCGCATGCATGCGTGTTGATATGTTTGCCTGGCGATGTATGTTTATATACGCGCATGCGCGAGCAGGAATGCGCTTGTTTGTGCTTGTTGGCGTGTATATCGCATGACATATGTGACGTGTATGTTTCATGACATATGTTACTATGTATGCTGGCGAGTCCATGTATGTGGTTGTGTGCATGCGTGTTGACATGTCAGTGGCGGACCCTTCCATTTTTCAGAGGTCGTATGTGGGTCCTGTTTTGGTTAGATGGTTGTGATCCTGTTAAGCACGACCCCCAATGAAACCAAACAAAATGTGATGCGGTATCATCCCCCCCCAACCCCCCCCCCCCCCCAAAGCCATGTTATTTTGTAATCCGGTAGAAGAGTTGAGCGGATATGCTTACCATCCCCCCACCCAGCCCCCCGCCCCAGAACCATGTTACTTTGTAATCCGGTAAAAGAGCAGGCTGGTCTGCAGCAGTTGAGCGGGTGTGCCTGACATGCCCCCCACCCAAGCCCCCCCCCCCCCCAGAACGATGTTGTTTTGTACTCCGGTAAAAGAGCAGGCTGGTCTGCAGCAGTTGAGCGGGTGTGCTTGTCATGCCCCCCGCCCCCACCCCCTCCCCAGAGCCATGTTACTTTGTAATCCGGTAAAGGAGCAGGCTGGTCTGCAGCAGTTTGTGAGCGGGTGTGCTTATCATAACCAACCCCCCCCCCCGCCGACCCCTCCCTCCCCAGAGGGGACCTGCGAAAGGGACAGCTGGTCTGCAGCAGTTGAGCGGGTGCGCTTATCCATAATACCAACCCCCCCCACCCCCATCCCCAGAGCCATGTTTCTTCGTAATCCGGGTAAAGGAAGCAGCTGGGCTGCACTGTTGAAGCGGTGTGCTTAGCATCCCCCCCCCCCGCCACCCCCCCCCCAAGAGCCATGTTACTTTGTAATCCGGTAAAGGAGCAGGCTGGTCTGCAGCAGTTGAGCGGGTGTGCTTATCATCCCCCCCCCCCACCCCCTCCCCAGAGCCATGTTACTTTGTAATCCGGTAAAGGAGCAGGCTGGTCTGCAGCAGTTGAGCGGGTGTGCTTATCATACCATGAGGGCAACCAAACAATGTTGTACATCGTTTTTGCAGAAAAAGGTATATTAAATCAGTGTGCGCTAAAAAGCGGTGTTTGAAAAACATACGAGTATCTCTATAAAGCCGTAACGAGGTGTTGTGCAGTGTCTGTGTGTCAAAAACAGCCCTGGAATAACCCCCCCCCACCCCCTCCCCAGAGCCATGTTACTTTGTAATCCGGTAAAGGAGCAGGCTGGTCTGCAGCAGTTGAGCGGGTGTGCTTATCATACCAACCTCCCCCCACCCCCTCCCAGAGCCATGTTACTTTGTAATCCGGTAAAGGAGCAGGCTGGCCTGCAGCTGTTGAGCGGGTGTGCTTATATCCCCCCCCCCCCCTCACCTCCTCCCCAGAGCCAGTGTTACTTATGTAATCCGTAAAGGAGCACAGGCTGTCTGCAGAAGTTTGAGCGGGTGTGCTTATCATTCCCCCCCCCCCATTCCCTCCCCAGAGCCATGTTACTTTGTAATCCGGTAAAGGAGCAGGCTGGTCTGCAGCAGTTGAGCGGGTGTGCTTATCGTACCATGAGGGCAACCAAACAATGTTGTACATCGTTTCCAGAAGGAGGTATATTAAATCAGTGTGCGCTAAAAAGCGGTCTTTGAAAAACATACGAGTATCTCTATAAAGCCGTAACGAGGTGTTGTGCAGTGTCTGTGTGTCAAAAACAGCCTGGGATTAACCCCCCCCCCACCCCCTCCCCAGAGCCATGTTACTTTGTAATCCGGTAAAGGAGCAGGCTAGTCTGCAGCTGTTGGGCGGGTGTGCTTATCATCCCCCCCCCCACCCCCTCCCCAGAGCCATGTTACTTTGTAATCCGGTAAAGGAGCAGGCTGGTCTGCAGCAGTTGAGCGGGTGTGCTTGTCATACCAACCCCCCCCCGCCCCTCCCCAGAGCCATGTTACTTTGTAATCCGGTAAAGGAGCAGGCTGGTCTGCAGCTGTTGAGCGGGTGTGCTTATCATCCCCCCCCCCCACCCCCTCCCCAGATACTTTGTAATCCGGTAAAGGAGCAGGCTGGTCTGCAGCAGTTGAGCGGGTGTGCTTATCATACCAACCCCCCCCTCCCCACCTCCGTCATCAATGAATGTGATCCCTAAGTGATCCGTGAATGTGATCCTCAAGTGAGCGTGTATCCCTAAGTGACCGTGATCCCTAAGTGAACCGTTTGAGCGATCCCTAAGTGACCTGTTTGCCGCTCTTATCAGGCATGTTTTTACTTTGCACTCTTTCCGACTGTAGGGACAAAAGCCTTATTGCCAGGCCCTGTACTTTGGCATGGTCAGCATGTCAACCGTGGGCTTCGGGGACTTGTACCCTACGGAATCTCCGCAGCATGAATGTTGGCTCCCTGCAAGTGGAGAGGATTGCAATTGCTTTCGGCGGCTCTGCTTCAGCAGCGTTCAAATCAGCGTGTACAAATGCGTATAGTTCATTACAGCAACATGACATACATGATCATAGATGTATAAAGTAATACACTTACATGCATGGCAACCTGCCCCCATGAATTCAGGCCCAGGCATAGTTCAGCGGTGTCCTTGCCCCCGAACATGAGTAAGTTAGGAGACCATTGATTGCTGCAACATGTTGTGATATGTCCATAGATGCACTTTCTTGAGCGTGCGATCCCTGTGACATGCACATGAGGTGAAAACCATGTTTGATTTGGGCATGTTTCTTCAAGACTTGAGATTTGGGGGGAGGAAACACAAACAGCAATTGGAAACAGCGCGTGGTGGACTTGCTAAGGGATGAATGCACGAGCCCCAGAAATCTGAAAACGCGGTAGCCATCCACATGTCCATCAGCTCCCAACTAGTTCTGCAAGCTGGACTCGCAAAGCAGACAGCCGCAGAATGAGGTCATCAAAAGACAAGCGCTAAGTGTCCTGAGCCGGCAAGGAATGGTACTCGCAGCTGGTGGGCATCATTTTCATTCTCGTTGGCATTTGTGTGGTGTTTGCCCAGCTGGGCGACACTGTGGGCCTCCTCATCAATCCCGTGCCTTGCAAAAAAAAAATCGGGCTCTCAGTGAGTTGAGCGTGAGTGGGGGATACCCCTAAAAGTCATGCAGTGAACTTGTAAGTATGTGAGAAAGCGTGATTGAGTGTGAGGGAGTGCGTAAGAGATAGGCGCCAAAACAACTTCGGTCAAAGCAAACTTGACTTTGGCTTGAACAAATGAACATATTCGTCAGCCATGCCAGCAAAATACTATTTACTAAGATGGAAGCACCCATTGCACCCAAGAGAGGATACGTATGCGCTTGTTCTAGCCTTCTGCGTGTTGCTTTGACGAGGAGCTTGCCCTCATTTTTGTTGGTTTTGAAGGGACTGCAATCTGATTGCGAATGAGTACCAAAAGCAGGATGTTTGACTGCGGCTTACCGCTGCACGCAACTTTGGATTTCGCATTGGGAATGTGTTCGACAGCATTGGAGCATCCACGCCACTTGTTGGGTAGTGTTGTTGTTTTT